AGGGGGGGGCGGCCCAGCCCCACCCGCTGCGGGAGCCGAGGGCCCGCGCCCAGCGTGCGCTGCTCAGCCCCCGGCCCTCACCACAGACACATTACCTGGGACCTAAATGCTCAACTGCGTCCACAGGCCCGGCCAGGAGGAAGAGTCCCGCTTCTCGCTCGTCCCCCACCGTCAGGAAGAGCAGGGCCTCCTGCGGACAGACGGGCCTGGCTGCAAACCGCCGCTGCCGCCTCGGCCGGGAGGGGACGGGGGCACCGGCCACGGGACGGCCCAGACACCAAGGACCGGGAGCTCGTGCGCGTCACTGGGGCAGAGGCTCGAAGAAAGGGAAGGGGGGGTGGCTGCCGGAGCTTTAACGCTCGATCCCACGTTGTGGGGGACAGAGGGGTGCTGGGGCACCCCAGGGTGAAAGGCTGTGCGTGGATAATCCTTGTAGGCCCCTTCCGACTGGAACAGCCTCGTGCTAGTCTAGTCTAAAACAGCTGACGAGGTTCCGTACAGCTCCTCGGGGGACACGCTCTGACTTTTCGCTGTTGTAGACTCCCCCGCAGACTGAGGCTGCTGGGGACAAACCCCCTCCTGTCCCCGAGGGGAACGGGTCACCCGTCCTGGGGCGGCAGAGGCCCGGCCTTGCCTGCGCCACGGCCCCAGGAAGAAGCTGCTGGTGCCAGGTCAGTGACTCACCTCTGTCCCGATCTCATTAGCAATGATATTCATAAATTCAGAGTCACCCTCCTTCCTGTATGGATGGGCAAAAAAACACTTCAGAAAGGAGCAAAAATCCCCGCCAGTCCAAAATACAAATCAGAACCCAAAGGCCTGATCTTGCACTTAGGATGGAGATTAGTTTTTAACTATACATCTAACTCCTCGACGTCCATCTCTGCAGACTTATTAAGATTTAAAATTATTTAAAGAAATAGAGCTCCTCAGGTTTATCTGAAAATATCAAGGGCAGAGAGAAATCAGATGGACACGCTTATTTATCAGCTGTAAAAGCAGAACTCAGTGACCAAATACTAACACCTTCCTTTAACCACACAACCTTCCAGCAGGCTGAGGCAGTTCAACATTCTGTTCAACTTGTTTATATTCTTCCTTGAGAAACGAGCCTGAACAGGTGTCAGAGAGATGCAACTGCCATAAAAGGTGCAAGATGATCCACTGTACCCGCTTCCCTGAACTCCCCCGTACCTGTGTAACACAAAGAGCTGACTTTGAGCAGGTTTGCTCTTGAAGTCCCGCGCTATCAAAACAGCAATGTCCCTAAGCAGGTTCAAGTTATTCTGAAAGAAAAGCAAATAAAGTGTTTTCGCTGTCAGTGTGAACACTGAGCTGTGCTCCCAGAGCTGGCAGCAGTTCTCATAATATCCACAAAAGCTGATGTCTACTATCCAGTTCCCAGTTATCATGACTAAAGCTCAGCTCTGCGGGAAGCAGCCACAATCTGCTTTTCTCAGCCATCCTCACACCTTCTGAAGCAGCTTCACAGAACTCTGCAGCCTCTTCACAGCCTCTACGTGCTCACCTGGCCCATTTCTGAAAGAACAAGGAGAATTTGGATCACCACGGACAAAGGAGGGACAAAGAAAGGACTTCTTAAAGGAGCAAAAGCAGAGCATCATAAAACGCACCACGCGAGGTGCCCCAAGGCTTATGGGCTATTTGTCAGAAGGAACAGTAAAGTGGAAAGGGTATTACTTGAGCAGTGAGGTTAGAGCCTTCTCAGTACTGTGACTTTGTTCGATTGACTTCAGCACTCTGTTTCCTGCCAGGAAAACCAAGTTGGTTTTGTTCTTTTTCCCTTTTTCTGTGCCAAGGAGTTTAATAACCTTAAAAAGAAAATCACCCTGGTCAGAAGAGAATGGTGCTTTGCTTATACTCACACAGGTGGTCAGTTCCTGCTGGACTATTCCTTGTTGTGAACATTGGGTCTTTGACAGTGAAAATAAACAGATTTACATCAGCCATAAGGTCAACATACGAAATAAAAGGGATGGAGATACAGTGGAATGATACAGCCATGGCCTGCACTGAGTGCATCTGGGTGTCTGCTGGGATACAGACTCCAACAAGTGACTGAAGAGACAGAAACATAACAAGGCCCCCGGCAGCTCCCGGCAGACCTGGGGCTCGGGGCCTCGGGCTGCCCCGGCCTGAACGCGCCGCGCGGCCGCAGCCCCCACCTGCAAGTCGCTCAGGTTGGAGACGTGAGTCCCGCAGCACAGGTTGGAGTCTACGCCTTCGATGTCAACGACCCGCACGGGCCCCGCGTGGTCGTCGGGCAAACCACGGCTCCTCACCTGGCAAGGGGACAGGGGACACCCAGCAGCAGCCGTGCCGCAGCCACTCGGGTCCCATCGAGACTGTCGGTTCTCTCCCCACCACTCACTGTTTCGATTTCAGGGTCATCTGCAGGCAGCTCCCTCACCACCACCGGCACCCGCTCCCGGATTTTCTCATTCACGCTCCTCTCCAGGGCCCCCACCTGCTCTGCTGTCACGGAGGGGGTGTCCAGCTCAATGAGGCTCCGCTGGCGGCCCAGCTCCCTGCTCCGGCGGAGAACATCTGCTGCTGCAGCGAAGCCCAGCCCGGGTCCCTCTGCGCAGCACCAAGCGCCATCCCACTGCTGGGAACGTGGCGACTGAAACGAAACCTACGGCCCTTCTCTCCCTGTTCCTTACAGAGCACCAGACACGTGCCAAGCACTTGGAGGAGGACAAGGCAGAGCAAATGCTTTGCACAGCTTCTCCCCAGTCCAGTCACCCCTCCCAGGCCTCTGAGCTCGAGCCAAGTGTCCAAACTGCTTTTGATTTACCAGGGTTCCGCTCCCTGCGGCCCAGCATGGTGGCACACACCAAACAACGTAAAACTGGGGTCGAAAGGAGCCATTTCCCTGCTCACCATGAAGTTGTCTTGAACCCAAACATCTGTTCTGCGATGGCAGTGATGAGATGCTGGCCTGGAAGAGACATGCAAGCCACGGCTTTGGGTGCCACCGGACACAGGAAAAGAGACTTTTCTTCTGCTGCTGATGTTCCCCGTGACACCAGGAGCGCCCGGGCGCTGCGGGGCTCACACTACGGCTGAGCAGCAGGGAGGAGGCGGCTACGGGCCCCGGGCCCAGAGAGCACCACGGGGCGCGCTGGGGACGTCGAAGCCGGTTGAACGTTCCCTCCCCAAGCTGTTGGCCGGGGCTTGTGCACAGGCCGAGGAGGGCCCGCAGGGGCGGCCTGTGCCCGGT